ATATGTTGTCACAGTTTCGTGGAACTCTTTTAACCTAAGAACACTATATGTTGTCACAGTTTCATGGAACTCTTTTAAAATAAGAACACTTTATGTTGTCACAGTATCGTGGAACTCTTTTAACCTAAGAATTCTATATGTTGGCATAGTTTCATGGAACTCTTTTAACCTAAGAACACTATATGTTGTCACAGTATCGTGGAACTCTTTTAACCTAAGAACACTATATGTTGTCACAGTTTCGTGGAATTCTTTTAACCTAAGAACACTATATGTTGTCACAGTATCGTGGAACTCTTTTGACCTAAGAACACTATATGATGTCACCGTTTTGTGGAACTCTTTTATCCTAAGAACACTATATGATGTCACAGTTTCGTGGAACTATTTTAACCTAAGAACACTATATGTTGTCACAGTTTCATGGAACTCTTTTAAAATAAGAACACTTTATGTTGTCACAGTATCGTGGAACTCTTTTAACCTAAGAACACTATATGATGTCACCGTTTCGTGGAACTCTTTTAACCTAAGAACACTATATGTTGTCACAGTTTCGTGGAACTCTTTTAACCTAAGAACACTATATGTTGTCACAGTTTCGTGGAACTCTTTTAACCTAAGAACACTATATGTTGTCACAGTATCGTGGAACTCTTTTAACCTAAGAACACTATATGTTGTCACAGTATCGTGGAACTCTTTTAACCTAAGAACACTATATGTTGTCACAGTATCATGGAACTCTTTTAACCTAAGAACAAACTTTAATTTTTCTTGAATTTCACATTTCATCGACAAATATTCTGGAGTTAGTTTTTCTTCATTTTTTTTTACTTTTTAAAGTTGACAAATGAATAATTTAAACATCATCCCCGACCTGTTTGTCATTTTATACATATTTTCTCAAAATGTAAATTTCATTTTAAACTAAATCAATACTTAATGACGATTTTTTCTTTTTTTTTGTGTCTGGCAAGCAATTCAATAGTTTCATGCTGATAATATATATGTACGGCACTCCTATCAGTGACAATAATAGGCTGTCCCTAGCTCTGTGGTACATTTTTACAGATAAACTATGTTCTAATGCTTCAAGTATTAAATAAACCCTCTCTCTATCTACTCGAGCATATTATTACTAGTCTGCTTCCGTTTCGTGACTTCAAATCCCCAAGAATAAGTCACATGAAGTGTAAATGAATATTCATGACCATTTTTCGTATTAAGTTGTTTACAGTAACTGATAGTTGTCATGGTAACCCACACACCTCATTTATGATTCACCTGTGATCAGTAAAAGTGACACTTTGCCACAAACTTAGAGAAGACATTTTGTCATCTGGTCTTGTATTATGAATTTCAAGCAAAATCACTTTGTCAATTGTCAATTTAATTCTGATTATACAGTTTTAGATCCAGAACACTATGTTCCTGTTTAATGTTTGAAAATTTGAAATATAACCCCTCTGATACGAAACTTCAGAACTGAAAGCTAGTCATTAATGTAAATTTTCTACTGAACTTTCAAGATTTTATAAATTATCAAAGAGAAGGTGAAGATTCAGAACATACATCAATCGTTTTCTATCACTAATTCAGTGTCATACTTACCCTTTTAAATGCATGATTTTGCTCCTCTTCATAGTCGTAATCGGAATCCTGCGCATCCTGAAGCCTCTCTTTGGCCTCAGCTCGGGCTTTGGCAAGAAACTCTGCCTTCCGCTTCTGTTTATTTGATACTGTACTTCTGGTTGCCGTCTCATCTTGTGCGTAACGTTCATAGGGCAGAAGCAGTCTGGAACACAGTCAAATTACACTTAACATTTGTATGTGCTACTGTTATACATTTGTGAGTGCCTTACCAGTTCAAACGTATTGTATGGGACCTTTATTTACAGGATTTCTAAATATCCAATGTAAATAGTTTCACAAACTTGTTTATGATAATAACGAAGTACTTCCTTATCCATATTTTCCTTTGAGTGATATCAATATATTTCTGTATGTCAGGTCAAACCAGATTAATAATTTGCAATTTCATCAAAAAAGTGAAAAAAATGCTGACTGGCCTGGGGCTAGTAGACGTTTCGTCAAAGCGAGTGAAAAGTTTCAATACACACTACAGGTAGGACATTTTCTTTAAAATCTGCCTGCTGGCTAGTGCTCTAACAGTGAAATTGTACACCTTTTAAATAGACATGGAGAGTCCCGATGTACTGTCTATTATCTGTGCTGAAGAGCTTCCTACTGATGCAATTTAAAAATATATTTTTTTGTGAGATTTCAAAGCATATCATTTCTCACTCTGCTCTTCAGGCCTAGAGAATTGAAAAAAATCTGAAGTTTTAAGTTTGGATTCATTTAGAAAGTATTATAGAAATCTCTTTACTTTTCGTAATGTCTGCGAGTACAGGTGGCAGCACTAGTACTTCCTGGATTTCCTCCTAACACGTCATATAAGTGCTTCCACAGTCGCTTCCTTGTAATCTGCGTAACAAAAGCAAAGCAAATCCAACATTTGTAACATTCAATAATTTAACTTTTGTATTTATTTTGATCCCATTCTCAGAAAAAGGTCGGGTGGTGCAGTGGACAACACGATCGCCTTTCAACAAGGTGGCCGAGATTTGATTCTACGATCGGACATAAAAAGGAATATGGTCACCTACTCGACCACTTGAGTTTCTTTGGGTTCTCCGGTTTCCTCACACTTTAAGACATTAGCGAACATCTTAGTCAATAAGAGTGATTAATTTAAGTTGAAATAACTTGGTTCATAATTGTTGTAAAATAAATAAAGATGTCTTATTTACATATTCTCAAAAAAGTTACATAAATAAAATTTTGAAAATTTGAACGCAATGTCAATATAGTTCAATCAACCTTAAATCTGTTACTATAATAAGTTTTATATAAGAAAGTAGAATATTTCAGACTAAAGCCTGCCGTCTTTAAACAACTGAACTGTTGCCTTGGTGATGACACATACCTGTTCGTAACCGCCTAGTTTGTGTGCATAGGTGTAGAAGTACCAGAGGTCAACTGAAAGGTCAAAGTCAAGATTTACAACGTTCCTTTTTCATAAACATACGCTATGAATTAATTGACCTACCAGGAAGTAAACATAAACTCCACTGTTTTATCATTGTGTTTATCTTTAATTTGATATTCAGTGCAACATTACATAATGTTAGCAAACATTGCTATAATTTTTCATTCAAAAAGACGATATATCAACTCGAAAATATTTGAAATTTGAATTTTGCTTATCGTTTATCAGTTTTTCATTTCATTCATAAAGATACTAAGTCCTCGAACCTTAAGGGAAGTGTACAGATTTTACTATATACTTACTCTGCTTGAATCCCAATGACGGAATCCTGTCTATGGGAGTATGGCGCTTCTTCATAAACTTGTGTAAATCTATAAGGAAAGCCTGTTCGTCCTTGCTGATTCTGTCCTTGTCGAACTTGAAGCCATTGCGCAAGGCAGATTCCCTCTTGCTAGCCTGCCAATGATGAACACAGTGTAATCAAGTTATACTGAAGAAACAAGTTTTCACATGTGGAAAGGTCCGCATTTTGTATCTTCTATTATATTTTTTTTACATGATACACAACAGAAACATGTAAATATGCACATAGTAACATGTTTAACCACTATCTTAAACACTTGATGATTAACAGAGAATTCAATATCAAAATGGTGTTAATAAACTGTATATGGGGAATTTTCGGCAGTCTTATCATTTTCAGTGTGTCGACTTCCTACTCACTTTGACTCTAGAGGAAGGCGTAGATATGTCCGAGGAGGTTTCGTCTGATTCTCCATTACCATCACTCTTTGAGGATCTTTTCTTCCGTGGTCGTCCTTTCAGATTTGGAGCTTTACAAAAGATGGAAATTATTATCATTTTATTGAGTTAAACAATGGTTTATTGCCACCCCTTCAGTACAAGTATCAAAGAGAATTTTTCACTACAATTTTCGTGAATACATTGTACATATGCTTGGTGATCATGCTATAAATCATGTATCCACGAGGAAGTGAATTTGCAAAATGAACATCAAGATAAATTATACATGTATGTCCCTTAGTCGGTTGGTTGGTTGACGGGTTTTTCGCGTACATGACTCCACCCATACACTTTTTGTGTCACTGACGGAGGTCATTGTTCTGTCGACGTATGAAGAAATGAAAGACTATAAATACTGCTAGTGCTTTCACCCATCTTGGGGCTCTTCAGGTGATTTTAATTTTCTTCAGTGTTTTGATTAAATTCTGTTTCTATGGTCACATGGGCATAAAGTTTTTTTTCTATAAATGTCAGAATAAATTTAAGCAAGATAATTTCAATTGCAATCAGATTTTCTTACCAAAGAAACGTGCGAGAATTGGCATTTTATGTAAGTGATTTACTGGAAATGAGTGTTGTGACGAAATGTGTTGAGATTTTCCATGACTGTATCAATATTATATGATAATATTTAAAAGAATAAGCATGTTACTTCAACATTGATCAGTCACGTTTGATGATCTTCAGATCATTTATGGTCGTTATTATGTTTTGGACATAAACACAAGCAAGAATGATCACAGGATGGGCTACAAACCTAAATGGTCCATTCGCATTTCAAAGTCATCAAGATCGGGGTCATCGAACGTGTCCCGACAAAACATGATGCGGTTGTTGGGAGTATGGGACGTGATGCCACCTAGTGCACAGATGATCTGTTTTTTAAGCCACTTGTCGGCCATGTTTTCCAGCCTCTTCATGATGGTTCTGTAGCGACAGTACTGGGCATAGCTAAGTACCTTCACACAGGTAGATGTCGTCTTTTGCTCACCTGTAATCACCAACAGGTAATGTTAATCAAAGATTGAAATCTGAACTGGCATAAAGAGCACATGTACAAATGAACTACAGACATCAGTTAACAACTGGATTTAATTGATTTTTATTTGATTTTTATTTCCATTTTATTTTATTCAATATGCATTTGTGTGCGGCATAAATGTATACTGCATACTTTGAAATTTTCGCTGCAGTTTAATTTTTACGTTTTTCGCCCTCCGAAATAAAGCCAAATTCATCATGACAAGGAATTTTAGTTATAACAGCTAAATAAAGGGCGAAATTAACACTGGGCGAAAAATGATTTTATAGGCAAAGGGCAAAAGTTTGACAAGGCGAAGATTTCCAAGTATTCAGTAACGCTTCAAGCAGGAATATGTTATAAGTTAACATGTCATTAAACTTAGTCTTAACAACACACTTACACAGGAATGTCAAACATGGTCACACTGTAGAAAGGATAAACAATAGCACTAGCAGTGTTCTATAAAACATGAACAGGATATGTTTTAACCCCCAAAACACTTGCTTGTGCCCCACTTCTTCGAGGACTGCTTAATGTAATGAAGAATCTGAGGGTAAAGAATCTTAGAAATATATCAAAGATACCCCGAATCGAAAATATTTAGTGAGCCAGTCCCCACACTGTAATAGGTATGGTAAGGGAATAAGAAGAATAAATAATCAGGAAGAATTGGTCATAAAAGAAATAATAAAAATATCAAGTAGGGATGATTTTTTTCTGTAGACCTTTGAAGTAGGAGGCATCTTACCCAGTACATCAATCTCCTTTTGAATGTCGTCCAAGACAAGTCCCGAGTTCTGTGTGTCGGCGAAGAACTTTGTCTGGACGTCATCGTGTTGGACGTCACCCTCCACACTGTCCTCATGTAGGAGGGCCAGGCCGAACCCCCACTCCACATGATCCAGGTACACAAGGCTCACCAGATCATCCAACCTCAGGATCAACTTCTCAGAGAAGGCAAGGATCTCATGCTGAAATCAGAGGGCAAACACTTATAATCAATGCTACAATTTTGTGCTGTAACGGAAGGAAAAATATATATTTAGGATCAACTTTCTCTAGAATAATACAAGATGTGCTGCTATCAGAAAGTAAATGTATAGAATCAATGCTTAAATTTGTGATGTAATGGAAGGAACCAAAATATATTTAGGATAAACTTCCCTTTGAATACCTGAAAGATACGCTGAAATCAGACAACAAATATTTAGGAATAAATATTTCGAACATAAAAACTATTAATTTGGAAAGAAAATATTGAGAATACTGTTACATATTACACAGACTGCTAAAATCTTATGTTTCAATACAGAGATAAATTTATATAAGACTAACAATCTCAGATCTTTTGCTGAAATTAATTTATAAGTCATGATAAACATTTCCAGAGAATTAAAAGATCCTCTATTACTATCAAAATACAAATTTTAAAGAATTTAAATGAAGCACAGTGAAACCTAGGATCTCTCTGTACAAAGAAATATATATTTTGTAAGATCAATTTCTGTGAGAATGTTGGATCTCCTACTGTTATTTACCCTTTCACCACTGTAGACCATAATGGACTCATCCAGATCAATGCATAGTAGAGTCTACTAAAGTTACATAGGGTTGAAAGGGTTAATGTACTGCTGTTACACATTGTAGAAATTGGACAGCACCATTCTATGGATTTTATAGGAGTTACCTCCCTTCTAAAGTCATATCAAGGCATTATACTGTAAATACCAACGTGCGCAGTGCACTGTTGCTACCAATAAGAAGCATTCTGCTCTACACTCTCAACCATATTTACAGTGCTTTTTTTTACCTGATTTCAAGTTAAACAAAAACTATCGTCAACACTTAAGTGCTAATTATCACAAAATATTTATTTTTTTATTTATTTTTTATTTGTATGTTGTATAATACCTCCACTTAAAATATTATCCAAGTAAGAATAAATTATGCATTTATTTTTTTATCTTTTTGTAAAATAAATGCTATTAATTCGGGGAAGGTTTTAACATCAAATATACATAATTCATCTCCTCTATGTATAACACTGATAGCGATTGTCAATTCTGTTTTTATCTGTTTTAGTATTGCGTAATATGTGTGATTTAAAGTCTATACCTTACCCAGACTTTCAGGTTCAGATATTTCAATTCAAGTAATCAAATTCCTGACACAGTGAAAGGCTGCTTTGTATTTGGTGGTGATGTGGATGTGTATTTGACCCACCGTATATGATAAACTGTTTCAGACTCACGTACACCATTCAAACTATGATAAAGCATTAAAAACAGGGAAAGCATAAACTGTGAACTACTCTACAGAGATCAATTATTCCTGCCTGTATACATGTAGCTCTGTGTATACAGTTTTTTGGCACATCCCGATAACTTTGTTTTATATATCACAGTATTACAAATTCATGTTTTGGCAATAAAATTATGACATGCACTAAAAGTCACTGGCTTGTGTAAATTTCTGACTGCATCGCTTTTTCCTCTCTTAAAATAATCAATAAATGAAATTGCTTCAATATTTGCACCCGGCACTATAGGAAGCTAATAGGATTCCATTAAGTTGTTTATGTTTCGTTAAGCTGGTTATATCCATGTTGCTATTATTTTTCATCCAGACTATATTTAGATCGACAATGAAGTGTTTACTTTTTTTCCGACTTACTTATGCACTCCCTTCCTGTTTCTTATATATTTTTACTTATCTTCAAAGGTCAAAGGTCAACAGAGGGCTTCAAATACTAATTATCTCTTTACCAAGCATTTAAAAAAACACTTTTTGATGAAGTAAAGCAATGCATTAGCTCTAATATCGTGATTTAGTCGGGAACATTGATGCTCCCAACATTTTATGTCGGCCCGAGTGATTATCTTAAGCATTATGCTATTACCGGTACCGCTGGTATTATAAATGTTTAAATCTCTGAGAAACAAGATTTTCAAAAGATCAATATTTTTAAAATGCATGCCCCCCTCCCCAATAAATAAACATTTTATTTGGAAAATTTAGCACAATATATCTAAGTCATTGATTTCTTTTACTGATCTAGTCAAAGATGAGATACAATATCCCTTCAGGGTTTGCTAGGTTTACGCCAGCCTGCATGTTTTTAGTCACAGAAATTTGAAACAGACTATAGCGAAGATGGAAATCTAATTGATTTTACTGTACGCCCCGAGATAAAATAATTCAGATCAGGTTTTACTGCTTATGAAAGACACATATTATGTTACACAACATGACAAGTAATATCTATTTTGATAAAGATGATTGCCAGTATTTTGATAAAAATTACCATTTCAAAACTGACATTGTAAGCGTTTGCTATGCATTCTACTTTTTGTTACATAATTACTGCTAATTAATATTAAGACTAAAATCAATTATAACCACTTTATGACTACAAAAGCAACAAAAAAAATGGATGGATGGAGCGATATTAACACAAGATCGTTTATTATGCCTTTAAGATATTAGATTCCTTTATATTTCGTGATGTGAAGATAACTCAGACATGATTGAGCTATAAATGAGGATGAAATCATTAATCTTTCCACGTATTAAATCACAGTCTCAATAAATCTCCATAATGTAGCATTTCACCAATCTAGTGCACAATGCCCACTTCTGGAGGCACATATCAGTATAATAACACAGACAGCAGTGTGTTGTGTACCACTGCTGCCCTCGCTATGCACGGTTTTCAAGACAAGAGTGCTCTGATCTTGTATTTTCTGGTGAAAAAACAACATTGTTTTTTCTATCTCTTTGGTGTTTCATGAATGGGACCATTAGGCTAGTCAAAACAAATCCACTTTCATGTAAAATGAGCAAGGTTGGATTTGAGATAACAAATTGGGATTGGTCAGGTTGGGGGAAGTACCTTGAAACAAATTCCAGTTTTGTTTATCTCATTCACCCTTGAAGACACATTTAAACTCTTCCAATTCAAAGGTTGGGAAAGTTCATTATGAAATTTCAGGGGTGAATGAGTGAAGTCATTGTCTAAATCAAATTTACATTAGTCAATTATCTACTACAAAATCTTCCAAGGCAAAAGATCAACTGTTTCTCATTCATGTGAAAAAAACTTAATGAGGCCAGTAAAAATTAGCTTAAAACTTATATGTCCCATCTGCTTCCTTCAGCACATAAGATAAGTAACACAGGGTCCATTGACAACTAAATATTAACACCATTTGATGGCAGCTGTGTAAGTGTACCTAAATACATCCTTCACCAGAGATCGGACAAAAAAAACGGTCTGAATAAATAATTGTGGAATATGTGAATTTATAATCGACTGCTCATGATCATGAATCAATGCAGAATGGATGCTATTCCGTCTTACTCATGGTTCTCCAAGGCAATCAATCTCTAATGAAATAAAAGTAATGAACAGAAATATGATTGTAGATATCGGTAAGCAAACACCATGCGTTGTCAGATAAAAATAAAACACTTAATATTGTAAGAATTACTTCTCATTGACATACAGATAACATGTATTTGTGGGAGAGATTTGATCTGAACCCGGCTCAGTAAGCCTTCACTTAGATCAGGAAGATTGAAACAGCCTAGTACAGATGCAGTTGCCACTTTACAACATGACTAAATATGAGTCAACGAAATGATACATGAAGTTATATACTATCACTTTATCTAGGAGTAAAATTTAAATAACCAGTATCAACTTCTTATTATACATTATGGAAACAACACCAGTATACCACATGACTGCATGACTAATTACATACGACCACCTGTATGACACTGACATCAGTGACCAACTACATACAACCACCTGTATGACTGACATCGTTACCAACTACATACAACCACCTGTATAACTGACATCAGTGACCAACTACATACAACCACCTGTGTGACTGACATCAGTGCCCAACTACATACAACCACCTGTGTGACTGACATCAGTGCCCAACTACATACAACCACCTGTATGACTGACGTCAGTGACGAACTACATACAACCACCTGTATGACTGACATAAGTGACCAACTACATACAACCACCTGTGTGACTGACATCAGTGCCCAACTACATACAACCACCTGTGTGACTGACATCAGTGCCCAACTACATACAACCACCTGTATGACTGACATTGTTACCAACTACATACAACCATCTGTATGTCTGACATCAGTGACCAACTACATACAATCGCCTGTATGACTGACATCAGTGACCAACAACATACAACCACCTGTATGACTGACATAAGTGACCAACTACATACAACCACCTGTGTGACTGACATCAGTGACCAACTTCATAAAACCACCTGTATGACTGACATCGGTGACCAACTACATACAACCACCTGTATCACTGACATCAGTGACCAACTACATACAATCACCTGTATGACTGAAATCAGTGACCAACTACATACAACCACCTGTGTGACTGACATCAGTGCCCAACTACATACAACCACCTGTGTGACTGACATCAGTGCCCAACTACATACAACCACCTGTGTGACTGACATCAGTGCCCAACTACATACAACCACCTGTGTGACTGACATCAGTGCCCAACTACATACAACCACCTGTGTGACTGACATCAGTGCCCAACTACATACAACCACCTGTATGACCGACACCAGTGACCAACTACATACAACCACCTGTGTGACTGACATCAGTGCCCAACTACATACAACCACCTGTGTGACTGACATCAGTGCCCAACTACATACAACCACCTGTATGACCGACACCAGTGACCAACTACATACAACCACCTGGATGACCGACATCAGTGACCAACTACATACAACCGCCTGTATGACCGACATCAGTGACCAACTACATACAATCACATGTATGACTGACATCAGTGACCAACTACATACACCCACCTGTATGACCGACATCAGTGACCAACTGCATACAACCACCTGTATGACTGACATCGTTACCAACTACA